CTGCTTCTCACCGCACAAAAGCACTGTAAATAACAGCAATTTCTCCGTTTTTCCATGTTTTTCGTTATTTTTTGAACTGCGTTGGTCCGCTATATATGGCTATCAAATTCTTCGCGTTTTTTTTTTCCCACAATCAGTACTTTCGGATATTTTTAATCTCAATGGCCGACATCATTCGCAGTTACGAGTGGCTGCCCAACGATGCGGTGCGGGCGGTTGCCGTTCTAGAAGGCTTGGAAAAATTGCTCCGCAAAGCGGTTCCCCGAAGCTACTAAACGGTTCGCCACAATATCTGTGCCAAATAATTGGCCCAAAGCGATTATATTTCAAACCTATTCCCCAAAGTGGTTTCCCAAAATTACGCCAAATCTGCTCCACAAAATTGATCCCCAAAGCCACTCCCCAAAATTGATATCGAGAGCAGCTCCGAATAGCTGGTTGTTAATCAAAATTCCTTTATTCCGGAACGGCCATTCTTCGCGAATAAAAATTTTACTTTCGCGCAACTTTAGCGAACTCCATGTTTATCTTTCGCGGGGCCCATGTTGGCCAACAACACCTCTTATGAAGATTCGTTCACCACCTGCCAAATTAGGCCAGAGAATCACGGATCACTTCTTGGTAGCCTTTTAAACATGCAGCTAGCATCACGGAATCCCTTCTCAGGACAGATTTTTTTTTGCAAAGTTTACTGGCCCACCCCCTTCAACATGCACTTTGACTTTCGCCCGCTCTTTCGCATAACTTTCGCGGAACTTTCGCGAAAATCCCTATTCACAGACCCCGGCCATCAGCAGGGGGTGCACTGAAGGAAAAGCGAAGACCAGGGGCCTTGGTGTTTGGCTCTCGCAAAGCCTCACTTTTGGAAACTTGGCTGCTGCTACTCGCATTCTCTGGTGCCCTTCTCCTGCCGGACCCCGGGCGGCAGTGGGTAGCAGCCCTTTACATATAACGATAATAATACCCAACTTTCGCGAAACTTTCGCGAAATAAAATTTTACTTTCGCGAACTCGAAAAAAAACTTTCGCGAGGGTTTCCAACATAACATGCACGGCTTTCGCAATTAAAGCTCCTTACAAGGACCTTTAGATCGATCACCAGCTGCTGCCCAGAGTGGTTAAAGCTTCCCAAAATTGTTTTCTAAAGCTACTCCCCAAAGCTGTCGTTCTTCAAAGCAATTGTTCGTCAATGTTGCTGCAAAGCCGCAAAGCTCCCCACAGTTGCTCCCCAAAGCTGCTCTTCAAAATTGCTACCGAAAGCCGCGTCCCAAAGAAACTCCGCAAAACTCCAAAGCTGCTCCCCGAAGCTGCTTCAAAGCTGGTCCGGAAAGCTGCCCAAAGCTGCTCGCCAAAGCTGTTCCCCGGCGCTCCCCAAAGCTGTGCCCCAAAGCTGTTCTCCAAAGCTATTGCCCCAAGTTCGCCAAAACGGCTCCCCAAAGCCATTCTGCAAAGCGGCTCCCGAAAGCTGCGCCCCAAAGTTGCTACCAAAAGCTGCTCCCCAAAGCTGCTGTCCAAAGCTATTGCTGCAAAGCTGCGATTCTTCAAACCTATACCCCAAAACGGCTCCCCAAAGCTATTCTGCAAAGCGGCTCCCGAAAGTTGCTCCCGAAAGTGGCTACTGAAAGCTGCTCCCCAAAGTTGTTTGTAAAGCTGCCCCCGAAAGCCGCTGTTCTTGGAGGCAATTGTTCCTGAAAGTTGTTCCGGAAAGCTTGCCAAAGCTGCTCCCCAAAGCTGCTAAAGCTGCCCGCGAAAGTTGTTTCCGAAAGCGGCTTCCCAAAGTTGCCTTCTAAAGCTACTCCCTAAAGCTGTCGTTCTTCAAAGCAACTGTTCGTCAATGCCCAGTGGCACACTGACTGGGGGAGAAGGTGAAATTTCAAAAAAAATGCGATCACTTTTTTGGGAAACGACGCAAAACGAAATTTCCCGAAAAAGTAGTGCATTTTCGACCTCCGCGCAGGGGGCTCAGGAAGTACAGACCAAGTTTGCATTCGCACAGACTTCAGGTGTCTTCCTGAAAGTCCCAAAAATTGTGGCAGATTTTTGGGGGAACTTTGGCTCGGAAAAATGCGCGGGCGCGTGCGCTCTGTGTACAGCCAGATCGTAATATTAGCAGCAGTAGTAATTCCATATTTAAATGTATTCTGGATATAATATATTATAATTCTAAAACTACAAAATGAATTATCTTATTTATTATAGAAGAAATACTAAGAAAAATGTTATAGAAATATAACTTATCACTATTAATAAGAATAAACATGTTTATTTTTCATTCAAATATTTTGTTAGAAAATAAATATATGCATTTTCCTTTAGAAAAATCATAAATAAAAACCGAAAATTAATTAAAAATAATTTTAGTTTAAAAAGAATGTAATAGATATATATTTGCAAAATTGTGTATATAAAAGAATATTAAATATATAGTATAATATATGCTTTATATTTTAATACAAAATAAATGACATAGATCAAAGAGGAACCAATATTATATCAAAAGAATAGATGTGTGTATATATATATAGTAATTTTATTATATAATATAATAAGGAAATTGTCAATTGATGATAGAGGTTATTAATTGAAATGGCAAGAAAAAAGGTTCTAGAAATATAATCTACGGTATACGTCCAGTTAGGATATAAGAACCGGAAGCATGTCAGCGCAATTGCTCCGGAAGGATCTTTGCAAATTCATCTGCATGAAGGAAGGTTATTCCCAAGATAAACTTGCCATTATGAGAATTGACTGGGAAATATACGCAAAAATCAAAACAAAAAGGAAGGTATCCCCGCAAAGGACTGAGCCACGGCCAAACAGCTTGGGGAAAGGGTAGTTAACCATGAAATATCATGCCATTGGAGATTCCAGCTTCCCCATACCTTGCTAAAACAAAAGCAACTTCAGCTAGCAGCTAACAGAAGCTAGCTTTCGTAAAAAGATATGCAAATTTCCGCAACCTGGGCCCTTTACAAAAATGGGCCTTGTACCGAAATCCCACAACTACCTGAACCGTCCCAGAACCATCCTGGAACCAACAATGGAATCCACATTAGCACACCGGAACCTGCAGACCCACCGTGCCACAACCCTTGGAACCATCTGTGACTGGATCCAATCCCAGACCCCACAAGCTGCTCCCAAAGCTGCTGCTCTCCCAGCTGCCTCCCGAAGCAGCACCCCAAAGCTCTTCCCCAAAGCTGCCTCCCAAAGCTCCCCAAAGCTGCTCCCCGAAGAGGGTCGGGACGGACCTGGGGAAAATCGAACGACTGCCGCAGAATGGCGAAGCGGTACAAGCACTAGGAGGAAAAGGGTCTCAAAAAGCGCAATTTTGGGGAATTTTTGCGGCGCCGAAAAAAGAAGTCTAAAATCTAAAAACCTTCTTTTTCTTGCATTCCCGAAAAAAAGCTTCTTTCGGTTTGAGTTCTGAGCTGGTGGCACGCTGGACTGGAATATTATTGCGCAGATACTAAAAATGTCTGTGGGGAAAGTTTCAAAATAATTGACTTGTTTTGAGACTTTTTCGGGTAGGCTCATCGCGCGCGCACTCCGCAGGACTTGCCGAAGTTTTAGTAGCAATCATTTCCTTAAAATCATGTTCCTTCCAAAAAAATCCAAACACATCAGAATATATTCGCCCCGCTTCGCGTGGGGTGGCCGCCCACACCGCAGGTTTATTTCGGTCCGTGAGAGGCGCTAAGGGTGGTGTGGAATATGAGGAGCAGAGCAGCACAGGAGAATTGACATACATAACTGCTGGGTTCGCTTTCCCCCCTTGGTGGGGGCTTCCCAAGCGACGGAATTTTCACTTTTCCCCCGTGAAGCTTCCCAAGCTAAGAATTTTCACTTTCCCCCCCCGTGGGGGCTCCCCAAGCTAGGGAATTTTCACTTTTCCCCCCCGTGGGGGCTTCCCAAGCTAGGGCTTCCCAAGCTAGGGAATTTTCACTTTTCCCTCCCTTGGAGGCTCTCCAAGCTGCGGAATTTCAAATAGCTAGACAACGACGCCTAGATAGTCCCCCAAATCCCGTGTTCTTTGAATGTGTTTCCATGTTTTTGCAATGGTTTCCTTCAAAGCACGGTACTTTACACTTTTGTCGCCATAAAACCGGTCGAAAACATCATGTTCGACAATGCTTCCAATTCCCTTATCTCCCCAACCGTTGAAAATACCGCTATTTACAGTGTTTTCTTCAATTTTTCCATGTTCCAATGCCGGTAGCCAACTCCAACATATATATAAGAAATCCTTCCAAAACATTGTTTTTGACAGTGTTTTTCCAATGTTTCCAGTCAAACAGACGGTAATTTACACGTTTTTTGCCATAAAGGCAGTAAATCCTTCCAAAACATTGCTTTTGACAGTGTTTTTGTAATGTTTCCAGTCAAGCATACGGTAATTTACACGTTTTTTGCTATAACGTCAGTCCAAAACACTTGTTTTATCTTGCTATGTACAATGTTTTTTTCTTTTTGGCCGTTTTTCCATTGCCGGAAAGCTACCAAAATGACCCAAAATTCCATTGCAATACCCTCTTGCCCTCAGACACCCAAAAATCCTCGAAAAATGTCGAAAACACCACCTAATTCTGGTCTCGGTGCGAAACCGTTTTTGGCCCCCCCCAGCTAAAGCTGATATAGCGACTGCTATATTAACAAATGTGATTGAGCATTTAGTGTAGCTGTTTCCCCCCAATAAGCACGCCTTCACCGCCAAAGCGGTGTGGGCGGATTTTCCAAACAGATAGGATTTATTTCAGGAACAAATGCGATATCACGATGTGGTTTCTATTTATTGATGAAACTGTTTTGAAGATATTGATGTCGGTCAATTTTCAGATCCAAATTTCTCTTTAACTGTTGATTTTTATCTGAAAGCTTCATAGTAATTGCGATTCGATGCAATTGGATAGGATTCTTGGGATTGTCTCGCAGTTTCTGACATCATTCTCAAGATCGGCTCCACCTTGCGATTGGAGCGCGGCATCCTTGCACAGATTGCTGCATTCTGAAGCATCAGCAATCGATCATCTTGTCCTTCTGGCTTCAACTCAGCCTCATTTGCTCGTATGGGACGGAAACAACCGAAGAGTTTAAGTCAAACATTGGCCAACACAACTGCGAATGCACCTTGGAAAATATCCAAAGCCAACAAGGTCACCGAGCTCCAGTTAGCCACTATGGCTAAACCTTTCTTACCCCTTCCTTGCTCCTTGCGGTTACCTGGTTACCTGTTTGACCCTGCCAAGCACCAAGAAAAAGCAACGAAATGATGCTACGCAGTCGACAAGGGGCGTTCCGGGCCAGGGAGATGTATGCATCACAAGCCTCTGCCCACTGACCATTGTGCTGAAGGTATCTGCAGTGCAATTCTGGATGATCTTTGGCATGAACCAGCAAGAAGTTCTTCAGGTATGGGGATTTGTACTGATACGGAGGCAATCCTGATTGCATCATCCACTTCAAAATGCAAAAGTGGAAAAGTTCGTCTGCCTGATACCGGTGTCCTTCGGTTCGCTCAGGAGCGACAAGCTACAATTGAGTTCTTCTGCTTCACTTTCCAGGGACAAAAATCCAGCTTAAACTACCTTAAAAATACGTATGTTTTGGCCCCGGTCCTTCCAGACAATGCCGGAGAAGCCCATCCAGAATAGGTATAGCATCAAATTCCGACAATCTGGCCGGCAAGAGTTCTGGCAACTCAACATGCGGCCCACCAGGTGGCAACGCAAAGCTGCTTTGCAGGCGCCCACGTTGCCGGGCAAAGGACAAGACATCGTCCAGGATTCCAAGGACCACCTGGTAGCACTCCAAACGCGCATAGTGCAACTGTTGGATGCGTGGGTTGGATGGATCTTGTGGCCTCAAAGACTCATCTTTTGGATCACGTGCTCTGGCCACACCGGAGCATAGCGAGATCAAGCCCTGGTTCAGCGGGGTCAGGGGGCCTGCCCCTGGACCTTTCCGTTTTCTCTGAAGCGTTTGGGTGGTAACCCCTAGATCTGTTCAAGCCTGGACACGCCTTTCACATGGAAGTTTCCGTAAATGGGGGATCCCCAAAATGAAATTATCTTTTTCCGACCTTTAGTCAAGTTTATTTGCGGGATTTGTTCTCAAATTGGAAAATCAACCTCAATGATGATTCAAGATGATTCAAGAGCTGCAAAATCTACAGTCTTTGCACGACTGTGTCGAACCCCTGTCCAACTTTATCCGGCACAGCTAACTGACCTACAGAAAGAAACTTGGTCTCTTGTTTCACGTGGTCGCTGTTAGTGCTGTTAGTGTCGTCTTTGAACCAAAGCTTTGTTCCGAAAAAGACCCACACGACCCTTGAGGAACAAAACTGTGACCGCCCAGCCTTACAAGCGCCCACTGCTCGTAGTCTGGAGGCTGCCTCCATCAGGTCGATGTGTGCAGCATGTCGCTCCAAGATCGCCAAACCTCGATGTGTGAAATGGCTCAACCTTGCAATTTCTAAGGTGCTGTTGACCGCTGTCAAGCTAGACTCAACTGCTTTGAGGATCTCATAAGCCTCCTGCACCTCCAAGGCAGCTTTGCTGAAAAGGCTGGGGCAGTTGGACAAATCCCGACAAGCCACAATGCCAGCTTGCATCAGGCCCTGGAGAATGCAGCGGGCCTCTGGTTGACAAACCAAATCCCTGAAAGTCAGCTCAGAAAAGCGCAGCAACGTCTCAGCTGGACAGGAGCCAGAAGCCATTGCAGCCGTGCAGCCGGAGAGAAGTTCCAGAAAATCGAGTGCCTCCACAGATGCAGTCACCAAATGTAAAGCACCATTGGCAGAGTCCAAATCTTCAGGGCTCACGGGGTTGGATGCAGTGGTCAGGCGTGGCAAACATCGATCCAGAGCTGATTTCAACAACAGCAACTGCGAACGAGCAAAGCCACGCTGCGACTTGGAGAAGCCACATTGCCACTGGGCACCCTTGGCCATAGGAGGCGGGTCTGGTGGGGGAGGCCACCAGTCATCTCGCTTTCTCTTGGGTTTCTCCGTAGCTGGCCAGGCCACATGCATCACATGAGATAACCAAACTGGCCTCAGTAGTCGGCTCAAATAGAGGTACAATCCACGCATCCGTGCAGACAACTGGGTGGCACTTTGGAACACAGAGTACCCCAAAGAAGAGCCTCCCATCTGAAATGGTGGCTGGCCACGCATTGGGCCCACATCAATTGATGGCAAGGCCTGTGAAAAGCCCATTTGAAAGGCAAGAGGAGACAGCAAGAGCTTCTCAGCTCGTAACAGCAAAACCTCCTCAGAGGGGTCCTGCAATTTGGTGCCAACCAGCTGCGGCCCCATCGGCCCCATCTGCCCCGTCTTGGATTCTCCCAGCTGATCCTTGCGAAGCAGCTTGTTGCGACCGGACAAGGTGGTTGACTTGTCGGGTCCTGGCTGTACATTCAGCTTGGGCATGGCTTGAGTCAGGACTTGGAACAGCAAAGCACACGCCTGTTCTGCTGTGTATTGACCCACAAAATCCTGCAGGGCTGGCAGCTGGCCACCTAGAAGATGCTCTCGCAAAGTATCTAGCGGCTGTATCCTCCGCAGCACGTGAGCGCCAATCGAGGAGACAATCATAAAACGGGGTGCAGCCACCAGCTGTTGCTTGGCCAATTCACTGAGGTGAACCACTGGCAAAATCAATCCATGTGAAGCAGAGAAGAACTGCTGGATTGGCTTGGAGATGGGAGCGGGCAAAGCAGCCATCGCATAGATCTGGGGCAATTCAGTTTCCTGGGTCAAACTGATGGTGTCCACATGCTCAGCTGTGCCAGCTACATTCACCCACGGAGACCGTCCACGGCCCTGGCGCTGGGCCACAACCCGCAAATCAGCGCTCAAGGCAAGAACTGCTTCTCTGTGACCCTCTGGACTTGGAAGGTCACACTGTAAGAGCGTGACGCCGTTCTCCCACAAGGCATCTTTCACATGAAGCTCCTTTGGAGCATTTGCATCTAAGAATCTAACGTGATGAACCGTCATTGATGTGATGCTGGGCCGCGCAGCTCTTGCAGATGTGGCATCAGCACCTTGTTGCGGCACATTTCGAAGGTTTCCACGGAGGAAAATCCGAGTACCGTCCTCTGCCACGACACATGCAATGACGCTTCCCCCAGCCGGCCTTTCAACAGGCAAAACTTTGATCAATCTTGGAGGCAAGGCTGCGGAAACAAGGCCAGAACCAAAGGAGCTCAAACCCCTGGAGCCCACTGGAAGCAATCCAGGAAATAGCCGTGCTTTGATCCGTCCCACTTCACTTGCAATGGCTGATTGCGAGAGAGAGCACAATTGAACTACTGGCTTCTCCTCTAAGCGTCCAGATGCATCTCTTTGGCTGGGAGGAATTTGAAAGAGTGTGATGCTGGTCGACGACAATGCAAAAAGCAAACCTCTGGATACATCGATGGTGAGTTGCACTATAGCTTCCGCTGGTCCAAAAATGGCAACACAAACCCGCTGCAGGACCGCAGGCAGTTGGGACTGCAAATTCCAACTCACAGCAGTCTTGCGGCACTTCCTCCTCCCCATCCATCGAGAGTCATCAAAGTACTGAAGCTCATGGATGCACCCATCTCGGCCTCCAAGAAAAATGCGTCCACTGGAGGGATCACAAACTACTGCATTCATGGAAATATCATCACTGGCCACTGAAAATTGCGTGCGCACGGGTGGGAGCAAGCGATTGCTTCCTGGAGCGAAGCGCAGGGCATGGAGTGAGATTTCCAAAGTGGTTGCCAGGACCAGGAAATAATCAATGCTCTGCACGAATTCCTTGGGATGTGCAATGGCTGCGGCCACCACTGCCTCGGAGACCTGAGGTGCTGTGAACACAGATCACCCCTGTAGTGCAATAGCACATTGACAAGTCTCGGCGATATCCTGTTTACATGTCACCGCATCATTGACAAGTGGAGCTAGTTAATTGTCAAAAGTTAATCAAACATAAACAGCTACGGTCAACTAAGCACTCCACTCCAGTGTACTCTGTGACCTCCTGCACCCCAGGATCATCATATTTCCAGAGCACAATCTTCGAGTCGAAGGAACGCCAAAGGCGTTGAATCTCAGGCAGGAGCCCTTGCTGCGTAAAGCCGAGGGAAGATGGCAAACCAGAAGTTCCTGCAGCATCCAAGGCAAACTGTGGAAGTCTGAAATCATAGTCTGCGCTACCTGCACCTGGTGCACAGGTCTCTTCCAAACTCAGAAACTGATCATCTTGGGCGAGAGCTTCCCCAAGCAGTCTGCAAGGCAATATAAGTCGCTGTAACGTCTCATCAGGCCGATCGCTGTCTGCATGCAGCTCCATGGGGCATCACCATCTATCACAAATCTTGAACCCTAAATCAGACAAGCCCAAGTCCACCGGAAAAAGTTCATTTGGGATCTAACATCAGCGGGTGCAAAAAAGACAAAAGGCCAGTGCAATCTGAATTGATAACGACATCGCAGAGTCCAGCAGGTTTTGCTGAGAGAGGGCAAGCGCCTTTTACTGACGGGCATGAAACGTTGGCTAAGACTCGCTTCAAGCGATGTCTCAAGGACTATCTTTGGTCCCGTTTTGAACGTTCCGGGCCCGTCATGTGATGAAAATAGACTTTTCATGACTTTTCATGACATTCCGTTCGCATGGAGCAGATTGTTGATCCACCTTTGGGACCGCTAGCTGACCTCAACTGAAGCCTGGAGCCTGAGATGGATTAGTTTCAGCCATGAAATATTTGGGTGAACGGGTTGTTGACATTGCAAATGATGTTCCATGAGGTGGCTATGAAGTGGAGTTGATCACATTGATTGATGAAAAAAAGGGGGTCCATGTGAGGAAGTGCCATGCACAAAATATGATTGCCCTGAATCATTCGACCTGCCTGGCAGAGCGAACATGCCTCACGGCATTCACTGCTCCAACAATCGAGGCAATGTCCTCGCAATAGGCCAAACTGATGAGGATTCAGGACAAGAATGCCGCTACATTTGACCTTGCTGTCATGCGCTTGCACTTCCAATCTCATCTCACGCTCTCGCTCTTCCTGAAGCAGTACCCCCATTTCTCCTTTCTGAGCGTACTGTCATCTTGAAGTTGCATTTGCCTTACTGTGGGACCTGCCAAAACAAAGCAAGAAGTCATCACACACTTGTTCTGCGAAATGCGGCTCTGCCTTTGATGAAGCTTGGGCTTTGCAGCAATTAAACTTGGGCCATCAGACGCACCCACACTTCAAGTTTGCTGCTCCTTGATAGCGCCTGCGCAAGATCAATGTCAGGTGAAAAGGGAGGAACCCAGGGATGGACCACACAAACTGGGTAGGAACATGATGTCCAATCTGTTCGGCCTGCGCTTCTCGACAAGGCATGATCAGGAGCTCTGATTCCATAGTTATCATAACTGCTAGGCAATGAAATTCCCGAAAAACAATTAGGGCTCTAGCACCTTAGCATAACAATCAAACACTCCTCATTGATCCTCGCTTTCTACAGCCAAAAACTAAGTAAGCTCCAGATCTCGGAAAACGTGTCACTCCTCCGGGCCTCTACCATTCGAGAGGCATCACCTCTGATGCCATTCACTTCAGTGATCAGCATCCTGATCTGTCCAAGACTGGGGGATGGGCCCTCAATTCATGGGGAAAGTCATGTCAAACAAATGGCGGTTTGGATGGATGGATGGATATACATATACATACATATATATATAGGTATGTTAGACAAACCAATATGAAGTAGTATATCATAACTATATATATATACATATATACACACACATGTGTGTGTGCATGAGAGAGAGGGAGAGAGAGAGGGAGAGAGAATTCGTGTAATCAGGTTCGTATAGATATATACCTGACTGGGTATAAACATCCCCAAATAATGATTAGATAGTGGGCTCACAACCCAAAGCCTTGACAGTGGCACACAGAGCGATACACGCTCCTTGGTAAAATGAGCTTGGCAGAGTCATTCGCCAATTCTGTCGCGTTGTATCCACCCACTGCTCCCTGCAATGCAAAAAACGAGGTGCGACCCCTCTACTGGTGTCGTGTCCAAATGGGGGATACCCCTGCCATTCTACTTGATTGATGATAAACCTTGAGATTTAGCAGTACCAATTTTGATACAAAACCTACTGCATCCCAGTCATTCACAGTACCGGACATGCCATTCCTTTCTTTGGTTTGCTCGGAACTCAGCTTGCTAAACGGTATTTAATGGCAAGAAAAAAATCCTGCATACAGAAACCCACATACTGTAGGGAGTTCTTAGAAGCTGTCAGCCCTTGCTTCACTCAAAATATGCTTCTTCCGTGTCGGAAGCACAATGTATTCTCATTGAATCCGAGGTGGCTGAGCTGTGGCAAGAAGGGCTCTTACATCCCTTTGTGAAGTGATCTCTGAAACTGCACTACGTCACGTATCGGCTTGGCCGCCCGCGAGCGGTATTCCCCTTCTGTCCCCGAGCAATGACATTGATGAAACTGATGTGCTCATGCAACCTTTTTCTGCACATTCTTTGCAAATTGCAACATGGATTCCATACAAAAGAAATGCACACAACCCCCAAAAAAAAAAACATGGATTGATTCGATTTGAATTCCGTATATCTGTGCTGCTGGTGCTTGTACCTGCACCTTTGTGGCGCTAGGATTTGGGAAAAAGAGCTCCAAACAACAAATGCTTTGCCCAACCATTCTCCTCTGGATCCACATCCACCACAGCCAACTCATCTGAGCAGGTGACAGTTGCAATTCAAAAGGCCGTGTGACTTGGGGCCCATGGCACAGCAATATTTTGAGGGCCGTGCGTTTGTGAACTGGGCAAACTGTAAGCCCCAATCCTCTTGATCCTGGCTGAAACGTGCTGCACGTGTTGCTGTTGAGATTGGAGATTTCCCAAGTGGAGAATGTGAGCCAAGTGACCCTTCAGCAGCTCCACGTGGAATTCATCCTCAGCTTTGCCACCTGCAACTTTCAAGGTTAAAATGTCAAGGAAAAAATTATGTGCGGAAAAAACGACTGCAGCATTTTGCAGCATTTTGCAGCCTGGCACTCTGACACCGGAACGTCCAAGCAAGCACAACGGTGCTGTCGCAGCAGCGTGTGCCTGCATTTGGCTCAAGACATGAGACTCTGCGTGCAAGATTCGGGTTTGGCTGTGCTAGCCTAAACTGATTCTTGCTCAAGTTGCTTGAGCTACAGTATCTGTTCGCAAAACCAGCAGGGAAATGCATGATTGATCGTACCAAAATCATCCATCAAAAATCCATTCAAACCTGCCTCTGTCCTTGCCAGACTTTCAGTGCCTTCCTTTGACTCAACTGCTGCCTCATTCATTCCTTGCCCTGCAACTAGACTCGCTTCAACCCCGGAAAACTGCGCCAGGCTTTCTTCTTCGCCATCGTTCAGAACTGCACTGGTTTCCTCAGTTGCCGGCGTCGCCGGTGTTGCCAACGCTTCCTCAATCTGCACAGTTTGCTCCACTGCCGTTTCCTCCTCATCCTGCTTACCTGCCGTACTTTCCTCAGTTGTCGCAATTGCTGGTTCAATCTGTGCAGTTTGCTCTGCTGCATTTTCCTCCTCAACTTGGTTGACAATTGCTCTGCCTTCCGCAGTTGCCGCTGTTGCTGGTGCTTCCTCATTCTGTGCAGTTTGCTCTGCTGCAGCTTCCTTCGGTGCGACTGGCTCCTCAGCAGCTGCTGGCTCCTCAGCAGCCGCTGCCGCTTGCTTTGGTTCTTCTGCTGCAGCTTCCTTCGGTGCGCCTGGATCCTCAGCAGCTGCTGCAGCTTCTTCTGTTGCTGCTGCCTCTTCCTTTGGAGCTGCTGGCTCCTCAGCAGCTGCTACCACTGACTTTGGTTCTTCTGCTGCAGCTTCCTTCAGTGCGACTGGCTCCTCAGCAGCTGCTGCAACTTCTGCTTCTGCTGCCTCTTCCTTTGGAGCTGCTGGCTCCTCAGCAGCTGCTGCCACTGACTTTGGTTCTTCTGCTGCAGCTTCCTTCAGTGCTACTGGTTCCTCAGCAGCTGCTGCAGCTTCTTCTGTTGCTGCTGCCTCTTCCTTTGGTTCTGCTGGCTCCTCAGCAGCTGCTGCCACTTCCTTTGGTTCTTCTGCTGCAGCTTCCTTCGGTGCGACTGGTTCCTCAGCAGCTGCAGCTTCTGCTGTTGCCGCTTCCTGTTCCTTTGGGGCTGCTGGCTCCTCAGCAGCTGCTGCCACTTCCTTTGGTTCTTCTGCTGCAGCTTCCTTCGGTGTGACTGGCTCCTCAGCAGCTGCTGCAGCTTCTGCTTCTGCTGCCTCTTCCTTTGGAGCTGCTGGCTCCTCAGCAGCTGCTGCCACTGACTTTGGTTCTTCTGCTGCAGCTTCCTTCGGTGCGCCTGGCTCCTCAGCAGCTGCTGCAGCTTCTTCTGTTGCTGCTGCCTCTTCCTTTGGAGCTGCTGGCTCCTCAGCAGCTGCTGCCACTTCCTTTGCTTCTTCTGCTGCAGCTTCCTTCAGTGCGACTGGCTCCTCAGCAGCTGCTGCAGCTTCTGCTGTTGCTGCTTCCTGTTCCTTTGGTTCTGCTGGCTCCTCAGCAGCTGCTGCAGCTTCCTTCGGTGCAACTGGCTCCTCTGCAGCTGCTGCAACTTCTGCTTCTGCTGCCTCTTTCTTTGGAGCTGCTGGCTCCGCAGCAGCTGCTGCCACTGACTTTGGTTCTTCTGCTGCTGCCTCTTCCTTCGGTGCGCCTGGCTCCTCAGCAGCTGCTGCAGCTTCTTCTGTTGCTGCTGGCTCCTCAGCAGCTGCTGCCACTTCCTTTGCTTCTTCTGCTGCAGCTTCCTTTGGTGCGACTGGCTCCTCAGCAGCTGCTGCAGCTTCTGCTGTTGCTGCTTCCTGTTCCTTTGGTTCTGCTGGCTCCTCAGCAGCTGCTGCAGCTTCCTTCGGTGCAACTGGGTCCTCAGCAGCTGCTGCAGCTTCTGCTGCTGCTGCTTCCTGTTCCTTTGGTTCTGCTGGCTCCTCAGCAACTGCTGCAGCTTCCTTCGGTGCGACTGCATCCTCTGCAGCTGCTGCAACTTCTGCTTCTGCTGCCTCTTCCTTTGGAGCTGCTGGCTCCTCAGCAGCTGCTGCCACTGACTTTGGTTCTTCTGCTGCAGCTTCCTTCGGTGCTACTGGTTCCTCAGCAGCTGCTGCAGCTTCTTCTGTTGCTGCTGCCTCTTCCTTTGGAGCTGCTGGCTCCTCAGCAGCTGGTGCCACTTCCCTTGCTTCTTCTGCTGCAGCTTCCTTCGGTGCTACTGGTTCCTCAGCAGCTGCAGCTTCTGCTGTTGCTGCTTCCTGTTCCCTTGGTTCTGCTGGCTCCTCAGCAGCCACTGCCGCTTGCTTTGCTTCTTCTGCTGCGGCTTCCTTGGGTGCGACTAGTTCCTCTGCAGCTGCTGCAACTTCTACTTCTGCTGCCTCTGCCTTTGGAGCTGCTGGCTCCTCAGCAGCTGCTGCCACTGACTTTGGTTCTTCTGCTGCAGCTTCCTTCGGTGCGACTGGCTCCTCAGCAGCTGCTGCAGTTTCTTCTGCTTCCTCTTCCTTTGGAGCTGCTGGCTCCGCAGCAGCTGCTGCCACTTCCTTTGCTTCTTCTGCTGCAGCTTCCTTTGGTGCGACTGGTTCCTCAGCAGCTGCAGCTTCTGCTGTCGCTGCTTCCTGTTCCCTTGGTTCTGCTGGCTCCTCAGCAGCTGCTGCCGCTTGCTTTGGTTCTTCTGCTGCAGCTTCCTTCGGTGCGACTAGTTCCTGTGCAGCTGCTGCAACTTCTGTTGCTGCTGCCTGTTCCTTTGGTGCTGCTGGCTCCTCAGCAGCTGCTGCCACTTCCTTTGGTTCTTCTGCTGCAGCTTCCTTCGGTGTGACTGGCTCCTCAGCAGCTGCTGCAGCTTCTGCTGTTGCTGCTTCCTGTTCCTTTGGTTCTGCTGGCTCCTCAGCAGTCACTGCCGCTTGCTTTTGTTCTTCTGCTGCAGCTTCCTTCCGTGCGACTGGATCCTCTGCAGCTGCTGCAACTTCTGCTTTTGCTGCCTCTTCCTTTGGAGCTGCTGGCTCCTCAGCAGCTGCTGCCACTGACTTTGGTTCTTCTGCTGCAGCTTCCTTCCGTGCGACTGCATCCTCTGCAGCTGCTGCAACTTCTGCTTTTGCTGCCTCTTCCTTTGGAGCTGCTGGCTCCTCAGCAGCTGCTGCCACTGACTTTGGTTCTTCTGCTGCAGCTTCCTTCGGTGCGCCTGGCTCCTCAGCAGCTGCTGCAGCTTCTTCTGTTGCTGCTGCCTCTTCCTTTGGGGCTGCTGGCTCCTCAGCAGCTGCTGCCACTTCCTTTGGTTCTTCTGCTGCAGCTTCCTTCGGTGTGACTGGCTCCTCAGCAGCTGCTGCAGCTTCTGCTGTTGCTGCTTCCTGCCCCCTTGGTTCTGCTGGCTCCTCAGCAGCCACTGCCGCTTGCTTTGGTTCTTCTGCTGCAGCTTCCTTCGGTGCGACTGGTTCCTCTGCAGCTGCTGCGACTTCTGCTTTTGCTGCCTCTTCTTTTGGAGCTGCTGGCTCCTCAGCAGCTGCTACCACTGACTTTGGCTCTTCTGCTGCAGCTTCCTTCAGTGCGCCTGGCTCCTCAGCAGCTGCTGCAGCTTCTTCTGTTGCTGCTGCCTCTTCCTTTGGGGCTGCTGGCTCCTCAGCAGCTGCTGCCACTTCCTTTGGTTCTTCTGCTGCAGCTTCCTTCGGTGTGACTGGCTCCTCAGCAGCTGCTGCAGCTTCTGCTGTTGCTGCTTCCTGTTCCTTTGGTTCTGCTGGCTCCTCAGCAGCTGCTGCCACTTCCTTTGGTTCTTCTGCTGCAGCTTCCTTCGGTGTGACTGGCTCCTCAGCAGCTGCTTCAGCTTCTGCTGTTGCTGCTTCCTGTTCCTTTGGTTCTGCTGGCTCCTCAGCAGCCACTGCCGCTTGCTTTGGTTCTTCTGCTGCAGCTTCCTTCAGTGCGACTGGTTCCTCTGCAGCTGCTGCAACTTCTGCTTTTGCTGCCTCTTCTTTTGGAGCTGCTGGCTCCTCAGCAGCTGCTACCACTGACTTTGGTTCTTCTGCTGCAGCTTCCTTCGGTGCGCCTGGATCCTCAGCAGCTGCTGCAGCTTCTTCTCTTGCTGCTGCCTCTTCCTTTGGAGCTGCTGGCTCTTCAGCAGCTGCTACCACTGACTTTGGTTCTTCTGCTGCAGCTTCCTTCAGTGCGACTGGCTCCTCAGCAGCTGCTTCATTTTCTGCTGTTGCTGCTTCCTGTTCCCTTGGTTCTGCTGGCTCCTCAGCAGCTGCTGCAGCTTCCTTCGGTGAGACTGGTTCCTCTGCAGCTGCTGCAACTTCTGCTTTTGCTGCCTCTTCCTTTGGAGCTGCTGGCTCCTCAGCAGCTGCTGCCACTGACTTTGGTTCTTCTGCTGCAGCTTCCTTCGGTGTGACTGGCTCCTCAGCAGCTGCTGCAGCTTCTTCTGTTGCTGCTGCCTCTTCCTTTGGTTCTGCTGGCTCCTCAGCAGCTGCTGCCACTTCCTTTGCTTCTTCTGCTGCAGCTTCCTTCAGTGCGACTGGCTCCTCAGCAGCTGCTGCATTTTCTGCTGCTGCTGCTTCCTGTTCCTTTGGTTCTGCTGGCTCCTCAGCAACTGCTGCAGCTTCCTTCGATGCGCCTGGCTCCTCTGCAGCTGCTGCAACTTCTGCTTCTGCTGCCTCTTCCTTTGGAGCTGCTGGCTCCGCAGCAGCTGCTGCCACTTCCTTTGGTTCTTCTGCTGCAGCTTCCTTCGGTGTGACTGGCTCCTCAGCAGCTGCTGCAGCTTCTTCTGTTGCTGCTGCCTGTTCCTTTGGTTCTGCTGGCTCCTCAGCAGCCACTGCCGCTCGCTTTGGTTCTTCTGCTGCAGCTTCCTTCGGTGCGACTGGTTCGTCCGCAGCTGCTGCAACTTCTGCTTCTGCTGCCTGTTCCTTTGGAGCTGCTGGCTTCTCAGCAACTGCTTCTCCTTCTTCAGTTGCTTCTGCTGCCCCTTCCTTTGGTGCTGCTGCCTCCTCAGCAGCTGCTGCCACTTCCTTTGGTTCTCCTGCTGCGGCTTCCTTCGGTGCCACTGGCTCCTCAGCAGCTGCTGCAGCCTCCTCCTCATCTTTGTAGTGGACTATTTCCTCAGGTGCCACTGTTGCTAGCCCTTCCTCAATGTGCAGAGTTTGCTCTTTTGCATTTTCCTCCTCAACCTGGTTGAGGACTGCTCTGCTTTGCTCAGTTGCCGCTGTTGCTGGTGCTTCCTCAATCTCCCCACTGTTGTGTACTAGGCTACTTTCCTGAGGTGCCAGTTTTGCTGGGTCTTCCTCAACCTCAACAGTTTGCTCTGCTGGACCTTCCTCCTCAGCCTGTTGCAGGGTAGCATTGCTTTCCTCAGTTTCCACTGTTGCTGGTGCTTCCTCAATCTGCGGAGGTTGCTCTGCTGTTTCCTCCTCGGCCTGGTCATCAATTAGCTGATGTACTGCATCGTTTTCGGGCAGTTGTCTCAGAAGTCCTTCCTGAGCTTTCCGGAGACTTGCGCTGTCTGGCCTTATGGCTGCAGCTGCTTCTTCCATGGACCTTGTAGGAGGCATTAGTTGGTTTCGTGCAAGTTGTTGACTCCTTGCAGCATGTTCTTTCAGCGATCGTTGTTCGGGTGATCGCTGTTGGCTTGTGTGAGGCGCAATCTTTGCCATTTCAGCTGCGGCAAAAATGGCGATCATTTTTTCATCTTGTTGCTGATCTTGTTCCGGAGCAACTTCGGTGGATACCATGTCAACAGGTCTCACGGCTGGAGGTTCAGTGGCCTTTTCGACAATGTCATGCAGGCATTCGACAACATGCTCACGCTGCTTTACAACAGCAGCTTGTTCAGGAACGTCGGGCTGATGGAATAGCACAGGGATGGAGGACAAAGGTTCCACCAGGCCGTTGTGACCTTGATCTCGCAGATTTCCATCTTGGAAATCTTGTTCTTTGATCGTACCCAAGAGTGCAAAGTTCTTGCACTCCAGCATGGCACTCTGCGCTACTGCTGCCGTTTCAGTTTGCACAGTTTCCACATCATAGGCAACTTGTCCCAGAGAATCGAACCCGCCAGGTTGGGGTTCTTGAAAACATGACTCACCTCTTAAGCCTGGCACGGCCCGGGCCCTGACCTCAACTGCTGGAGCAAAAAAATCTGGTGCGGACCTTGGGCAGCAGAAAAGCGGGAAGCCACCAAAGCTGAAGGACTTGAAGCCTCAACCATTGGATTGGTTTAAGGGAAAAATTACGGGAATCCGCAATATTTGATGGGAACTGGTTTCCGGACAATTTTCCCTCAAATCATCGGGATAAATCAACAATTTCCATCTCTAAGCCTGCAGCATAGGATGGTACGGCTGCTGGTTTCTGGCTGGTGAACTTGCGAAGCTCTTGCGTCTTCGTGGCAAAAGTGCTTTGGCTGAATGCACCTACAGCACCATGGTCTTCTAGAGAAATTTCAGGAGCCGGTGTGTACCTCTATGATGTATATATATATGTATGTATGTATATAATATATATATATATATATATGTATAAAATATACAGTGTATGTATATATATATATATGTGTGTGTGTATGTGTGTTTGTTCGCGTGTGTAAAACAAATATAAAAATATTCATTCTATCTATGCACAAATATATCCTGCACATGCATATCATATATATATATATAATCATAATCTCTATATATATATACATACCTGAGAAGGGGGGAACGAAAGCCAGCATCCCATCTATCCATATGTTCCCCAATATTTTTCAACCAGAGACTCTTCACCCAGAAACCCTTCTTGCACATACTTTTCACCCATATACTTTTCACCCAGAGACTCTTCACCCAGAGACTCTTCTTGCACATATTTTTCAACCATATACTTTTCACCCAGAAACTCTTCTTACAAATACTTTTCACCCACATATTTTCACCCATAGACTCTTCACCAAGAAACTCTTCTTGCACATACTTTTCACCCATATACTTTTCACCCAGAGACTCTTCACCCAGAAACCCTTCTTGCACATACTTTTCACCCATATACTTTCACCCAGAGACTCTTCACCCAGAAGCTTTCTTGCACATACTTTTCACCCATATACTTTTCACCCAGAGACTCTTCACCCAGAAACTCTTCTTGCACATACTTTTCACCCATATACTTTTCACCCAGAGGCTCTTCACCCACAAACTCTTCTTGCACATACTTTTCACCCATATACTTTGCACCCAGAGACTCTTCACCCAGAAACTCTTCTTGCACATACTTTTCACCCATATACCTTTAACCCAGAGACTCTTCACCCAGAAACTCTTCTTGCACATACTTTTCACCTATATACGTTTCACCCATAGACTCTTCACCCAGAAACTCTTCTTGCACATACTTTTCACCCATATACTTTTTACCCAGAGACTCTTCACCCAGAAACTCTTCTTGCACATACTTTTCACCCAGAAACTCTTCTTGCACATACTTTTCACCCATATACTTTTCACCCAGAGACTCTTCACCCAGAAACTCTTCTTGCAAATACTTTTCACCCACATACTTTTCACCCATAACTCTTCTTGCACATACTTTTCACCCATATACTTTTCACCCAGAGACTCTTCACCCAGAAACTCTTCTTGCACAGATACTTTTCACCCAGAGACTCTTCACCCAGAAACTCTTCTTGCACATACTTTTCACCCATATACTTTTCACCCAGAGACTCTTCACCCAGAAACTCTTCTTGCACATACTTTTCACCCATATACTTTTCACCCAGAGACTCTTCACCCAGAAACTCTTCTTGCACATACTTTTCACCCATATACTTTTCACCCAGAGACTCTTCACCCAGAAACTCTTCTTGCACATACTTTTCACCCATATACTTTTCACCTTGCACATACTTTTCACCCAGAGACTCTTCACCAAGAAACTCTTCTTGCACATACGTTTCACCCATATACTTTTCACCCAGAGACTCTTCACCCAGAAACTCTTCTTGCACATACTTTTCACCTTTTCTTCACCCAGAAACCCTTCTTGCACATACTTTTCACCCATATTCTTTTCACCCCGAGACTCTTCACCCAGAAACTCTTCTTGCACATACTTTTCACCCATATTTACTTTTCACCCAGAGACTCTTCACCCAGATAACTCTATACTTTTCACCCAGCACCCAGAGATACTTGTTCACCCATATACTTTTCACCCAGAGACTCTTCACCCAGAAACTCTTCTTGCACATACTTTTCACCCAGAAACTCTTCTTTCACATACTTTTCACCAATATACTTTTCACCCAGAGACTCTTCACCCAGAAACTCTTCTTGCACATACTTTTCACCCATATACTTTTAACCCAGAGACTCTTCACCCAGAAACTCTTTTTGCACAGATTTTTCACCCAGAGACTCTTCACCCAGAAACTCTTCTTGCACATACTTTTCACCCATATACTTTTACCCAGAGACTCTTCACCCAGAAACTCTTCTTGCACATACTTTTCACTCATATACTTTTCACCCAGAGACTCTTCACCCAGAAACTTTCTTGCACATACTTTTCACCCATATACTTTTCACCCAGAGACTCTTCACCCAGAAACTCTTCTTGCACAGACTTTTCACCCAGAGACTCTTCACCCAGAAACTCTTCTTGCACAGACTTTTCACCCATATACTTTTCACCCAGGGACTCTTCACCCAAAAACCCTTCTTGCACATACTTTTCACCCAATGTCCTTCTCTCTCCCATCTCCTCTAACTAGCTGGCCCATCTATCTGTCCATTGACTGCGCCCGGAAACCCCCAGAAAACCGGACCTAGGGGGGAATCGATACCCACCGTCACTGTTTTGCCACCTGGTACATTACCCTGCAAAACCATCTGGCGTCTGACGGAAATTACCACCTATTTTTCGATTTTTGACCCGTTTGGCAACTACCCGCCCCCAGACCCCCTATTCTCCCTTCGTTCGCAAATAGCAACTAGCCAGCTTCCCGGCTGGCTTATATATATATATAATTATAACATAATATATAAAATATAATATTATATATATATATATGTGTGTGTGTGTGCGCGCGCACATAAGTGTACAGCTGCCATTCCTCAAAGTGTCACATCAGAGTCCCAGACAAGCTCTGCCAACTCCTGGAACAGAAATCCCGAGTGTTGCCCAAGCTCAAATTCAAACAAGTGTGGAACTAATTTTAGTGTTGGGGTAAGCCCTCGATTTTGAACAAACTCACATAATAGTGCTGGTTAAATCTGGTGAAATCTGGCTATTTTCCCACTATATGCAGATGGCCAGTAAGAATGACTGTTGTTTCAGGCAAGTCTCAAACAAAATGCAATGTGAGTTCATGTTCAGGTTTGCCTTGTTGTCAGATGCAATCTGCCCATTGACCGCATTTGCTTCAGCAAACCAATCACGAACCTGTGGTCAAGATAATTTCCCCTGCAAGCATCAGTTGGACAATTTGAGCGATCAAAGAGAAAACGTTTGAGAATGTATCAGGCTGCTGACGGAAACCATGTCTTTGGCTGCCCATGCTTTCCTGTAGCAAACGCATTGAACCAGT